ATGCCCTTGACTATCTACAAAAGGTTAGGCATTGGAAGAGCTAGACCCACATCTATGTTGTTACAGCTGGCCGACCGAACAGTGAAGAGGCCCTATGGTATCCTTGATGACGTATTAGTACAGGTGGGGAAGTTTGTTTTCCCAGCAGATTTTATCATTTTAGACTGCCGGGTTGACGAGGAGATTCCCATAATTTTGGGAAGGCCATTCTTGGCCACTAGTAGAGCCCTAATTGATTGTGAAACTGGAGAGCTAAAGATGAGATTGAACGATGAAGAGATAACGTTTAATGTGCAGAAATATATGCGGTAACCTAGTGAGTTTGCTAACTGCTCTCTGATAGAAGCTGTGGATATGATCTTGGAGGAGGAAGATGAGACTCTGAATGCAAAAGACCCTCTAGCAGCGTGCCTCATGAACTTAGAAGAAATGAATGGTGAAAACTTGGCAGAGTGGGTTTTGGCCCTTGAAGGGCGAGGGTACTGGAAAAGAGAGCTCGAATTTGAGCCCTTACACTTAGAAGAAAGAAAAACACCTCCAGCTAAGCCGTCAATTGACGAGCCACCACAGTTGGAACTAAAACTGTTAACTCCTCACCCCAGGTACACTTTCTTGGGACCTAAATCCACTTTACCTGTTATTATCTCATCCAGCTTGTTAGATGTGCAGGCAAAACAACTTTTGCAGGTGTTAATGGAATGCAAGACTGCAATTGGCTGGACCATTGCAGATATTAGGGGGATCATCCCGACATTTTGTATTCATAATATTCTATTGGAAGATGGGCACAAACCTTTCAGAGAACATCAAAGAAGGCTAAACCTCAACATGAAAGAAGTGGTGAAGAAAGAAGTGATCAAGTGGTTAGATGCGGGAATCATCTTCCCAATCTCTGACAGTAACTGGGTTAGCCCAGTTGAGTGTGTGCCAAAGAAGGGTGGAATGACTGTAGTGCCCAATGACAATAATGAGTTGATCTCGACTCGTATAGTTACAGGTTGGCGAATTTGTATGGATTATAGAAAACTGAACACAGCACCCGGAAAGACCATTTTCCTTTACCATTCATTGACCAAATGTTGGATAGACTGGCAGGGAGGTCTCACTTCTTCTTTTTGGATGGATATTCGGGGTACAATCAGATTTCCATAGCCCCTAAGGATAGAGAGAAGACATCATTCACTTGCCCGTATAACATCTTTGCCTTTCGGAGAATGCCGTTTGGCCTATGCAATGCACTTGCCACCTTTCAGAGGTGTATGTTAGCCATATTCACTGACATGGTTGAAGATATTATGGAAGTCTTTATGGATGATTTCTCTATGGTGGGGGATTCGTTTGAAGACTGTCTGCATAATTTAAAAAGAGTGTTAAAAAGGTGTGTGGAGACAAATTTAGTGTTGAACTGGGAGAAGTGCCATTTTATGGTACAAAAAGGTATAGTGCTGGGGCATCGAGTGTCCAGTAAGGGTATTGAAGTTGACCATGCTAAGGCTGAGGTGATTGAGAAGTTGCCACCGCCCACTTTAGTTAAGGCAGTAAGAAGTTTCCTTGGGCACGCCGGGTTCTACAGGCGATTTATAAAGGATTTCTCTAAAATTGCTAACCCCTTATGTAAATTCCTTGAAAAGGATCATTCTTTTGTGTTTTCTGATGACTGCAGGTTAGCCTTTGAGGAGCTGTAAAGGAGACTGGTGACTGCACCAATTATCATTGCACCCAGCTGGGAACAACCATTTGAGCTCATGTGTGATGCGAGTGACTATGCTATAGGAGAAGTCATAGGGCAGCGGAAGGACAAACTGGTTCACCCAATTTACTATGCAAGCAGAACGCTAAGCAGTGCACAACTCAATTATACCGTGAACTGAGAAAGAGATGTTGGCTGTGGTATTTGCATTCGACAAATTCAGGTCTTATTTGATTGGTTTAAAAGTGATTTTTTATACTGACCATGCAGCACTTAGGTACCTAATAGCAAAGAAGGAGTCCAAGCCACGCTTGATCCGTTAGGTTCTTTTGCTACAAGAATTTGATTTGGAGATACGCGATAGAAAAGGGGCAGAAAACCAAGTGGCAGACCACCTTTCAAGGTTGGAGGGAGCTGAAAAGAAAGTCGAGGTAGAAGATATAACTGAGACATTCCCAGATGAACAATTGCTAGCAGTGATATTGGAGGAAGCGCCATGGTATGCAGACATTGCAAACTACCTGGCAATCGGTATTATTCCCTATGACCTTTCCTCTGTTCAAAAGAAAAAGTTCTTTCGTGACTGTCACATGTATTATTGGGATGAGCCTTACCTGTTCAGAATTTGTGTCGATAACATGTTCCGGAGATGTATCCCCGAGATAGACCAATCTTCTATTTTACAGGCCTGTCATGCATCACTATATGGTGGCCACTTCGGAGGAGTAAGGACCGCCGCGAAAGTGCTGGAATCGGGCTTCTATTGGCCGACAATGTTCAAGGATGCACACTTATGGGTGAAAGGTTGTGACGAATGCCAACGAACTGGGAATATTTACCGCCAACATGAAATGCCTATGAACCCAATTCAAGAGGTAGAAGTGTTTGACGTGTGGAGAATCAATTTCATGGGCCCTTTCGTCAGCTCATATAGGAACAAATACATACTCGTAGCTGTGGACTACGTGTCGAAATGGGTGGAGGCTACATCGCTCCCGACAAATGATACTAAGGGAGTAATTGTTTTTTTGAGAAAGAATATATTCACCCGATTTGGCACTCCAAGGGCGATAATCAGTGATAGAGGATATCACTTTTGTAATTGAGTCTTCGCAAAGCTGTTAGAAAAGTATGGTGTACGTCACAAAGTTGCCACCCCATATCATCCACAAACGAGTGGGCAAGTAGAAGTGTCGAACAGAGAGATAAAGAGTGTTTTGACAAAGACTGTGAATGCTACAAGAACGGATTGGGCAAGAAAGTTAGATGATGCACTTTGGGCCTTTCGTACCGCTTTTAAAACTCTAATTGGTATGACGCCATATAAATTGGTATTTGGGAAGGCATGTCACCTACCAGTGGAGTTGGAGCATAGAGCTTTATGGGCACTGCGACAGTTGAATCTTGATATAGAAGCTGCGGGCACAAGTAGAGTCACAGAGCTGCACGAGCTTGATGAATTTCGTTACCACGCTTTTGAGAGCACAAGATTATACAAGGAGAGAATGAAAATAATGCATGATAAAAATATTCTTGAGCGGAGTTTTAAACCCGGAGATAAGGTATTGCCATACAACTCGAGGCTGAGGTTATTCCCGGGCAAGTTAAAATCACAATGGTCGGGACCATTTAGTGTGGTGGAGATTCACCCCATCGGAGCCATAGAGATTGCTGCATCAAATGACTCTCACACGTTTAGAGTCAATGGGCACAGGTTAAAACATTATTTGGGCATGGAAGATGCGAAGGTAGTGTTGGTGACTCATTTGCTCGAGCCACCAAGGTTAAGCAAGCCTTAAGTGCAATTATCTGCATTGTGCCACGACATTAAATCAGGCGCTCGTTGGGAGGCAACCCAATTCGTAGTTGATTTTTTTTAGTGTAGTTAGAATTCTTCCTTTTTTTTGTTTTGTTTTTAGGTACTAACAAGTTTGCAGGCGAGCTGGGCAAGTCGAACAGGGTTTCAGCATCACCTTACGGACACCAGGCACTGGAGCTGGAGACACCTGGCTAACGCCAGGGTCTTCCTGGCCTTAGGCTGGCGACGTCGGGCTAACGCCAGGTACTGGGCCAAGCGACGCCAGGTAAGTTATTTCGGCCCAGTTTACGTTATTTTAACCGAACCTTCTCACATTACACGCCCTAAACACTGAACACAATACATATAACCCTAACCTCACTTAAACCAAAAACACATCAAGATTTAGAAAAGAAATTCACAAGCACACACATCTTCTCATCAACGTTGCTCTCAACCAAAAACACTGCATGAATTGCCCTCACCCACAAACACTCAACAACACATTGCCACAGTGGTCTCCCACATCCCCATTGAAGTCAAGTTTAGTCTTGCTATTGTTTCACACTAATCAGAAATTCTCAGGCAGCTTCTTCCTCTCAAAAGCTTCAAAGGTATGATTTAATCTCTTTACTTTGTAATTTCGAGAGAGGTACAGGTAATTACACACAAAAAATTGGTGGTTGTTCTTCATTGTGGTTTTGAGTTTGTGTGCCCCAACCCCATGAAACCCCATAGGAATGGTGCTGTGATTATGAAAACATGTGGTAGTGCGGAACCCCCAAGCCGATTTGGGAGGATGAGGCAATCCCTCATGTCCATAAGAAATCCCATGGCACTAATGCATGTTAAGTGTTTGATATAATGCCTCAATGGCATTCCTTGTCCCCATTGGAGCCCGAGTCTCCGGGATTAATACACTAGTGTTATGAAGTCATACACCACGATAAAATCTCAAGTGTGGGGTGGCTCGCGGGCAGCCCATGTATTCTTCTTTGATTCTTATATTAAGAAAAGATGAGGTGAAGTCTGAGTAACCTCGAAAAGTCGGGAAAATTTTTGTGTGTAATGTGTAATGCAGTTTTATCTAACTACTGCTTATTTGTGTAGGAACAACGATGCCTCCCAGAAAAGACACTGGCCAAGCCAAGGCTACTTTCACTGCGCCGGCTAAATTAAAGGCGACCTCAGCACCTCCCCCAAAGAAGAGAAAAGGGGGGAAACTACCTCCAATCTAAGTAGAGTACAAGCTGTGGCAGCTATAACAGCTATGCGTCAACAACCACAAGGCCAACGGGAGTTTGGCATCAACAGTATACCACCACACACTAAGGATTGGTACAGGCATTGTAGGCCTAAACATGTACACCCAGAAGCAGCTATCAATGAACGCATCTTGAAAGCGAAGTATCCGGCAATTTGGAGGGGCATTCAGGATATGGGGTTGAGCTATGTATTTAAGAACACAGGGAACATTAATCTCAACTTAGTACGAGAATTCTATGCAGGGTTTGATCCGCAGAGTACTGAATAGCTAGTGCCGATTCGTAGACGATTGATAGATTTTTCACCTACGGCCATATGTAACTTCTTAGGTGCTCCGGCTGTTCCTGTGGAGCCATTGGACCACTTCATTCGCCGGCCTACATACAGAGAGTTGAGACACATGCTTTGTGGTGCCAATTCTATGGCAGCATGGGTCCGGAATAAGATAACTAATCGGCACAAGAGGTTTCCCAAGAAGAAGATGAGGGCGGAGGCTCAAGTGTGGCTTAAATTGATAAATGCACAGCTCCTACCGTGTAATCATGACACACTAATTAGCCGTGAGAGGACTTGTGTACTCTACTTCCTCATGACGGGTCAAAGGGTAAATGTGGGTCATCTGATCCGCTACTAGATGTCTGTAGTCAGAACGAGTAAAAAGATTGATCGAATGCCATTTGCCAATTTTCTAACTCAGTACTTAAGACACGAGGAGGTTGAGGAGGAGACAGAGTTTGACCACACCATTGATCAGCCCCTACGACAAACGGACATCACTAGCCACCGAATGAAAGAAGAGACTGCCATGACATCGTTGACAAGTACCGAGCGCAACGCTCGGGATGATAGTTTTATGGCCCATCTCTATGGGATGATGGATTTGCAGCTAAGGATAGGAGGTCGACAGGCCACATCTGAGGAGAGGACTAAATTGGAGCACAGGTACCCGCTCAATGCTCTTGCCCAACAGCTGGCTGGGTTAGGAGATGGATAAAGACTCCCCAATGATGAAGATGTCAACACACTGGAGCAGTCTGAAGCTGAGCCAGAGCAGTCAGATGGTGAGAGAGATGATGATGATGAGGAGGAGGACGAACATGATGAGGAGTGGAGAGCGTCAGAGGATGAAGACGTTGCTTGATCAGGGAGTTTCTTCACACCCTACTCATTTTTCGTGTTTTGTCATTTTGTGCATGCACTGAGAACAATGCATGATCTAAATGTGGGGTGGGGACTTGTACATGGTTAATTTTAGTCATTTAGTTATTTAGTGTTAAATGTTTTAGTATGTGTTTTAGTACTTTAGTAATTGATTTGGTTATTAAAAAAAAAATAAAAATTGGACTCATCCCGACGATGGATCTCCCACACAGTTTTCTTGAGGGAAGTAAGTCAAAAGAAAATACCAAAAAGATTTTTTTTTATGTGTGCATGTAGTGTAGTAATTCCCCCTTGGTTTTTCTTTGGGCCACGGTTCTTTTCCAGGGGCTTTTAGTTGAACCGGGCGTAGTTATTTTTAATTTTTAGGAGTAGGAACCACGAAGCTATGCATTTAATTGTAGCAATATCTCTTAGCTTTGTTATGCCTTGAGAATAGTTAGTATTATGGTTGTAACGCTTAGGCTCGATTTTTGACTCTCGCATAAGTATCTTAAATTGTAGATTCCTAATTTTGCTTAACTGCTTTGACTGGAGTGTCGCGATGAAACCAATCCTGAGTGAGTTATGTGCCATGTGTGTGAGAGTTTTGTATGTATTCTGTGCATTGCATTTGATGTCTAGAACTTGCCCTGTGTGTGTGCAAAGCGAAATAGTAGTCTTGTTCAGTCTGAGAAGTGATATAGGCGTTTCTTTGTTAAGGCAGATATATATAGTTTACCCACCTAAAAGTTATGTAACGTAGTTAACCCCTTTGAGCCTGTAATCCTGTTTTTTTGGCAACCACACTACAAGATTTGAACCTTTTCACCTCTAATGAGCACTCGAATTGTTATGAACTTTGTAAAAGTTAAAGTGTGGGGTGATTGATTTGGTTTTTGAGTGGAACTAATGACATAAGGAGAAAGGTAAACTATTTTTAAAAAGTAAGAGCCGCTTGAATCGGAAAAAAAAAAATATAGTTGCATTGCTGGGAAAAAGAATATTCTTTGAAAAGTGGCGACTCTTAATGTAATTATGCTTAAAGAAATATGGGGAATATAAATTGAAGTGAAGGTAGAAAGTTATGGTTTGACATAAGTATGGGATGTGTGTTAAAGTATATGTATTAAAGTGCTTAAGGGAGGTGTAGTCACTCATATCCAAATATATCCTACCCGACTCGCAGCCTACATTACAACCAATGAAAGTCCTACTTGATCTTAGTCTGAATGAACTCGATTAGTAGAGTATTACACTACGGGCAAGCCTATGGTGCATCCTTTGTAGCATATGAATGTTATTTCTGAGAGCGAGTGAATTCTTCCTATCTTGAGTTCCTACGGTCTTAAAATTTATTGTGTGTGGAACTAATCTCTTTTGTTGTGTGAGGACACGTGATTCATAAAGGAAAGGTAATGTTGTTGACATCCATGTTAGAGTAAGTAAGTGAATTGTGAATAAGGCATGGCATTTGTGAGTCGAATCTTGAGGCGAGGATGTCACACTTGTGTGCTTAAACTATTTTAAAAATTCTTACTGTAATGAGTTAGGAGAATTGCTTTAAAAGGTCGTATTTATAAGTGTAGTTTGATTGCTCGAGGACGAGCAATGTTTAAGTGTGGGGTATTGATGTGTGGCTATAATTCCATAGTTTCGTACATTATGTGCCTTGCATTTTAAATGCTTTAATAATAAATTACACTTTATTTATGCATAATGGAGTCTATTTTATGTGTAGGTGAATTGGAGATGAAAGTAGAGCAAAATGGATACTTAAAAGCTGAAAGTGTGCTCGAGAACAGTGAAAAGGAGAGACCTGGCGAGGCCAGCCAAAGGCTAGGCTAGACCAGGCTTTAGCCTGGCGAGGCCAGCCTAAGGCCAGGCTGAACCAGGCTTTAGCCTGGCGAGGCCAGCCAAATTCCAGGCCTTAGGCTGGCGACGCCAGGCCTGAGGCCAAGTCCAATCCGAATTTTGAAGACTTAATTCATTTCGGGTTTGAGTAAGACTCGGCCCACACGTTTAGGGTTTCTTCTACACATATAAATAGACCTAAAAACATCACTTGGAGTGGGGTTCTTTCAGCAGCCACGTTTTTGGGCAGCTAGAGGCAAGAAGAGCTGGTGGAATCACCCATTGGAGTTAGAATCATTGTTTCTACATCTTTTCATCTTTACTCTCTATTTTAATTATGCAAAATATTTGGGATATTGTTACTATGAGTATGAGTAGCTAACTTCCTAATCTAGGGTTTTGGTGGAACCTATTGAAGGATGATTTTCTTGTTACGTTAATATAGATTTGCCGTAGTATTTTCTCTATTTGTTCAACTATATTATTCTTGTGGTTGATTGAAGGGCCCTTCAATCAGCTGTGCCTATTTAGTATATATTACTCGGGAGAGAGTGCATATTTAGGTAGTTGTTGAACAACATCACTCCTAAACGTATATGATGGATCAATACGGAGGTTTAAAGGTGGGATTAGGGATAACGAAACCTTGGTGCGATCTGAGTGAGCTGTACTTAATGCCAGCTAGCATAATTCGGGAGAATATGTCTAGTAAATTGTGGTGATTACTCGGGAGAGAGTTACGACAATTAGAGTGCTCATGATCGGTAGAGAAGACTTAGGCAAATTTATAGGAAACGTAGCGGAAAGAATTCCGACAATAGGAAAATCACAACCTTAGATCATTCCAATTCTTGTTTACAACCTATTCGTAGTTAGTTGTTAATTATTACATTTTTATAACGTAATATTTAGTTAATAAAACCCAATATGTTACTTAAATATTTCTTAAGATTGATTGTGTGAATTTGTACGAGTTTAGTAGCTGTGTTTGATAGGTTAATTCCTTGTGGGATTCGACTCCGGACTTATTAGCCGGAATATATTTGCAACGACCGCTTAGTCCTTTTTAGAAGGTATAGTTGGGCGTTATCACCTAATATTGGAATCCATATCGTTCGAGGGAAATCGACATATTCTTACCTTATTTTCGTTCTTCTCATTCACAGTACAAGTGACCACGAGGAAACCTCTGACCCAAATGCCAATTTTCCTTCATTTAGTTCTCTACGCATCAATTCAAGATTTTAAAGCTTTTAGAGATGAAACTAGACATCTGAAACGACATTTAATTAAGTGAGATTTTTCTAACCAATGAGAAACAACACATCGTCAATACTAGATTGTGTATGTCTTATTTTGAATTTGGAATATCAGATCAAGAATATAATTGGGTAGTAGATTTCTACAAAATTATTCCATGTGAAACCAACTTTCCTTCTTTTTTTTTCCCCTTCTCAATAATCGTTTATCTTCTGTTTAATTAGTGGAGACCAGGAAAGTCTAGATCAGGAGGGAGTGTGCCATTGATAAAAGATGAGAACATGGTCAATGCACGACCGGGTTGATAGCTTGGAACAAAATGTCCTGCTCCTCTTACCGTCACAAATGTCAAGTTCTGGTATTCTACTGCATAACCACCAACCTTCAAAAAAAAGGTGCATGAAATAATTAATTCATACAGAAAAGACAGCTCAGTGCACGAAATATTAAGATTTTTAGAAGGCGCACCCCAAGGGGGTGTGTTTAATTAATCCATATACGTACATGATAATCCGGAAATTAAGAGAGATTGTAGATTTGAAGATTAGTAATTAGTAATGAAACATTTTTTACCTCGCCTTGGAAGAACCAAGGATACCATGGCGTTTTGACTGGTGTTTTGATTTTGTTTATAGCGTATCTGCTTGTCGTTACAGACACAATATGATCTACGTCTCCGCTGAAATTGTTAAGTCAGGAAAGAAAAGGCTTGATCAGAAAATGTTATTGTTTCGAAATTTTGAATTATTTTTATGAGGACTGCTTAGTTCCTTGCTTGATTTGCTAACCTATAAATCCAAACCCTAATGCCACTTTGCATGAGCTCTTGAAAGATTGGTAGAACAGTATCTGGGGAATCTTGCCAAGAGCCGTGTATGTAATCACTGCAAAAGAGGGAATTGAAACAAGTGAAATTAAAAAAAAAAAAAAAGAACCTATTCGACTTGATTAACGAATTATTTTAAAAATAATCACAGTATATATGTATTACTTGCAAGAACCCCAGGACTGGGGTATGTCTCTGACATTAAGTGCCTTTTGTACTTCAACAGTGTTTAGGTAATTGTCTACATAATCAGCTGAGCATGGATCAAATCCAGATATCTGTTATAGCCAATAGAAAAAAGGTTAGGTTATAAATTTAATAAAGGGATCTAAAATGTACAGTTTTTAAAAAAATTTCTCACCTTAATTTGCGACAGTGAAATTAAATTATTTAAATCGGTTTAAATACTGGGTGCAAATAAAAAAAAATTCTCAAGAATGAAATGAGCAGTTAATTAGCTAGTGGAACTTACAGGAAGGGAAAAATAGGCAGAGGAGTTGCACAGTTGGGAATATATGTTATAAGTGTATATATTGCCTTGAGATGAATCTGCTTGGTCTGTGTACTCATCACAAGCTTGTGTGGTAAATTCTGCTGAGAAGTTGCAATTAGAGACAATTCCTTCATGGATTTCATCTGATATTAGTGCATGTGTCCAATAAAAGTCGTATGAACCACTACTCATTGTTTCATCGTCAATGAAGGCATTTCCTGTCTAAAAACCATGTCATATATAGATAAATTAGTGACTTAATAATCTAGAGAAGGATTTTGATGATCATTTGAAGCTTATAATTAGCTTACGGCTATTCCTTGCAAGTTAATTACGAGGTTGGGTTCTGATTTCTTGTGGGATAAGATCAGCTGAGCAAGTTGAGGTACATAGTGCCCAGCATAACTCTCTCCAATAATGTAGAAGTCGCGGTGTTTAAATTCTGGGAATCTTTCCATCCAATTTATGAGAAAGGTGAAACTGTCTTGTCTAGTCTTTTCGTCTCCAGTAACATAATCTGATGAAGTATTAGAATAAGAGAATCCAACACCAGCAGGTGATTCTAAAAAGAGCACGTTTGCCACTGCATCAAAGTCACAAAATTGTTCATTGTTATTACGGTTTACTGATTACTCTCAATTGTGATGACAAATTTTGCAGAAGATCTAGAGAGATAATTAAGTACCATTGTTCCAGGCAAATGGGTTAAGCCACAAGGTTTTTCCATCTTTATTGACGCGGAATGGTCCAAGTTCCGTCATTCCTCCATTCCCAAACGAAGAGCAACCAGGTCCTATCAAGTTCATACAAAAACAACAAATTAATTAAGCTGGAAACATGATACTCAAACAATAAAGGGAAGTAAATGACATTGTAGAAGAATTTTAATATTATGAGGTCACCTAATTAATAATAAACTGTCGATAAAAAGTGAGATCAGTACGGAAAATGAAAATAATTAAGACAGGTAATGAATGTGCTACAACATGTTAAAATATAAGCTGATTGTACTTTCAAAGCTTATACACACATACAGAGGCGGAACTAGGATTTAAAGCTTGTGAATTCGGTATTCTACTTCGTTTATGTTATTGGGTTCTAAATTAACAATTTATGCATATTCAATGAATTATTAAGATAAATACATAGTTTAGACCAAAGTTACTGGGTTCGGCCGAACATGCAAGCCATATGCTAGCTCCGCCCCTTCACACATATATAAACACACACTAACTTTGCCCATAAACGTGTGTGTGGTGCATGTGTATTTACCTCCATTTAGCCACAAGACAAGAGGCTTGGAAGAAGGGTCTTGAGTTGATTCAGTGAAGTGATAGAACAAGGCTCTACCAGCATTAGCATCAACTGTAACATATCCTGAATATTGATCAAAATTCACCCCACTTGGTTGCCCTGGCAGTGCTAAAATCTTGTCATTTTCCTTTGATCCTACCTGTGGCACTCTGAATTTTGACGATGATCGTCTTTGTTTCTCGGCAGCCGCGTTGCCGTGGTTAATACTAGTCGTTGCCCGTCGAGCCTTGAGAAATTGCCGTAGAACATCTGCTTCCCCTGCGTAACATTGTTGGACACTTAGGTAGCATAGAATTAGAAAAAGACTTAAAACAGAGGAAACTTTCATTTTCTTCCTTCTCATGCAAGAAACAAGAAATGGTGATTGATAAGTCAGCGATAACTCTTCTTTATTTTATAGAGTATGCAAAACGTTGAGAATGTCGTCAGATCTTTTTTCTTGTACTCAAAATCGGACTGACATATCTTTGTCCTTTGTGCTCTTTGGTTAAAACGTCATACGAATTTAACAGCTATAGATGACTTGTTCGGAATAAGTTTTTCCTGTGAAAGATTGAGAGATAGATGATGCAGAAACTTTTCTCTGTATATTTTATTCACTGTGTACAGCCTATTTATACATGTAAAATTGATGTAAAGAGCAAATGCAGAAATAAATCTACTTACAATTACCAATCCATATGTGCAACTAACTTAGATTCTTTTATTCCCTACTATGTATAAACATGTGCAATTCACGTGTAGGAAGCTTTCTACTTATTTCCTATATATTCAAATCAACGACTCTTGATCAACTTTTCTGATGGTTGTGATGTTCACACGTGTCAATGCCAAATGGTAAGATTAAAACATACAAGTGAGGACATTGACATCGTATAATCCGAAGAACCTAGGGCTTTTGTCTGAAACCTTTCTTCCCCTTCTTCAATTCTTCATCAACAAATAAATCTTCTTCTGCTAAATTATCATGGGGCTTCTTCTTCTCATCATCCCCCCTCAAGTTGGAGGGGAGGGAAAGGACCCCAACTTGTTCAAAATAGTTTTGTGAGAAGCCCTAGAAAGAGGCTAGGCTTGGTGAAGAGATCGGCGAGTTGCTGCTCCGATGGAACAAAAGAGAGTGTAATTAAGCCGCAGAGGAATTGTTGCCTGACAAAATGACAATCAAGCTCCACGTGCTTGGTACGCTCATGGAAGACAGGATTCCGGGCGATGTGAATTATTGCCTGACTGTCGGAGTGAATGGGAACTGGCAAAGTCGGAGTGGCAGAGAGGTCAGAGAGAAGGCGAACTAACCAAGTAACTTCAGCAGTTACTCGCCGCATCGACTTGTACTCTGCTTCAGCAGAGGAGATGGAAATGGAAATCTGCTTCTTGGATTTTCATGAGATTGGAGCTCCACCAAGCGTGATGAAAAAACTACTCACAGAATGACGAGAATCTCTACAAGCCGCCCAGTCAGCGTCACAAAAGGCGAGTAAATCAAAAGAGGGAGCTGCGGAGTGGAAAATTCCTTGAGAAGGATCAATACGTAGACACGCAGAGCTGCTGAGTAATGAGAAATGCAAAGGTGTTGCATGTACTGATTTAAACAAAGGACTGCAAAGCAGAGATCCGGCCTGGTATTAGTCAAATAATTGAGCTTTCTAACTAGATGACGATAAACGGTAGGATCGCACAAAGGTTCTCCTACATCAACTTGTAATTTGGAGTATGAATCGAGTGGTTAAGACACTGCTGGACCTGTGCAATCAAATTCTGTCAAAAGATCCAAGGTAAATTGCCTTTGTCCTATGACAAATCCTTGCTTTTCTCTACGGATTTCCATTCCTAAAAAATAATGAATATCTCCAAGATGTTTAACTTTGAATTCTGTGTTTAAAAAGGTTGTGATATGTGTAATTTATGTTGCATCATTGCATGTGAGTAGTATGTCATCAACGTAAACAACTAAGATAGAAATGAGATCACCTGATTGCTTGTAGAATAGGGAATAATCATTGAGAGAACTAGAATAACCTTTGTAGATTAGAGCCCCAGCTAACCTAGCATACCATTGCCTTGATACTTGCTTTAGACCTAGAGTGACTTCCTTAAGAGACAAACATGGTTAGGTTTAGGAGGAGATATACCTGCAGGGAACTTCATATAGACTTCTTCCTGCAAATCTCCATGCAAGAAGGCATTATTTACATCCAATTATGATATTCTCCGGTCCTTCTTAACAGCTACAACCAAGAGACACTTGATGGTTGTCATTTTCACCATAGGTGAAAAGGTTTCTGAATAATCTATCCCTTCCCTTTGTATGTCCCTCCCTCACTACCAATCTAGCCTTGAGCCTTTCAATTGTACCATCTAAATTGTGTTTAACCTTATACACCCACTTACAGGGTAAAACTCTCTTTCCTTGTGGTAGGGGTACAACATCTCAAGTGTGGTTTAGTTCAAGTGCTGAAATTTCAACATCCATGGTCTTCTTCCACCCAGGATGTGTAGAAGCTGGTAGATAACTGGTTGGTTCAGAAATAGAAGAAATAAAAGTGAGAAGGTGTTGATTATTCATAGAAAGTGCTCCAAAGGAGAATGCAGTAGGCTTGAGAGGCTTAGATAAACAAGAACTGAGGTCAGATAGGAAAATGTTGTTGCAGATGTAGTCATCTAAGTAAGGTGGTTTCTGAGTTACCCTGTCAGACTTTCTGACTGGGGGAGGAGGAACTGGATTAGGTGTTCTGGTAGTGATTGATGAGGGAGAAAATATCTTGGTGGGTGAGTAAGAAGGATATGAAACAAGAGTGGATTTAAAGGGTGTAAGAGTGATATTGATTGGAGTAGGGGAAGTAGGACACTTAGATGTGCTGCTGGGTGATGAAGAGGAAGGGTGAGTTGGAGATAATATAGGAAAATGATAATGGTGAGATAGGTCTAGAAGAGGATTCTGCTGGGGCATGAGGGAAAGTGTCTGATGGAATTGTAGTTGGTGGAAATAAGGGAAAATTAGATGTCAAAGGCGTGTGAGCAAAAGGGAAGTGATGTTCACGAAACCTGACATCTCTAGAAACAAACACCCTCTTAGTGTCAAGGTCTAGAACTTTGTATCCTTTCTGATTCTAGGCATACCCTAGGAACACACAACCCTTTGCTCAAGGCTCAAACTTATCCCTGTTGTGAGACAAAGTTGATATATAATACAGGCATCCAAAACTCTTGAGTGAACCATAGTTGGGTTATTTACCAAGCAGAATCTCATATGAAGTTAGACCCTTCAGAACCTTAGAAGGGATTATGTTGATTAAATAGGTTATTGTCAACACACATTCTCCCCAATATGGAAGAGGCACTTTAGAGTGAAAGAATAATTCTCTTGCCGCTTCTAAGAGATGTCTATGTTTTCTCTCAACTACTCCATTCTATTGAGGAGTTGTAACACAAGATGTCTCATGTATTATCCCTTGAGAGTCAAGAAAACTTGCCTCTTGTGATCCTGTTCCTAGTTCCAAGGCATTATCAGATATGATTTTCTTCACTTTCAAGTTAAATTGTCTGTCTACCATACATAGAAATGATTTCAAGACTGAAAAGGCATTGCTCTTAGTAATCAAAAGAAAAGTTCAAGTTGCCCTACTATAATCATCTACAATAGTTAAGAAATATTTGTATCCATTGTAAGTGATAGTCTTGAAGGGCCCTCAAGTGTCAATGTGAATTAAATCAAAGATAGCAGAACTCGTAGTTTGACTTAAAGAAAAAGGCAGTCTGGTATGCCTAGCTTGAGGACAAATGTTACACACGTGATCAAAACTAGAAGGAAAATTAATGAAACTCAAATTTTTCATTACTGAAAAGGGCAAATTCCCTAGCCTGGCATGCCATTGGATTACATTAGATGTAGCATTAGCAACTAAAGGTACCGGAAAAGAAACAAAAGTAGAAACAACACTGGGATTTCTCCCTTTTGGAATAGAAACTACATTTTATCTAAATGAAGAAACATACTCTATTCTAGGTGGCTGGAACAGGTACAATCCATCTCTAACTTCACCAAAAACTTATCCCTTCCTCATTAAAGGGACCTGCAATAGACATCCACTAGAGGTTAGGTTTAAAGTACAACTGAATTGAACACATAACTTATGAACATATAATAAATTATACTTAAAAGAAGGGACAATAAGTACTCTATGAAGAATCATATCAGGCTGAATAGACACACTACCTATGTGTGTAACACATAATTGAAATAAATTAGGTAAACTAATATTTAGAGGTACAGGCAGAGGGGTCAAATTTATGAAGGAACTAGCATCAAAACACATATGTTTAGAAGCTAATGAGTCAATAATCCATGTTTTAGTGTTAAAAACAGCAAGACAAGTTCATGTGTATTTGAGACTGGTACCAGCCACAATATTTGCATTGATTTCTGATGTTGTGTTTCCTGCATTTCCAATATGTACTTGCTTGATGATGTTCACCAATTTAGACATTTGTTCCTTACTGAAAAATTTGTTATGATTGCTTATGTTTCCTTCAATGCAAGCATTGGGTTTCTCTTCGTTTTCCTGTCCTGCCACCACTGCATTCCCTTTTATTGGAGATTGATAATTTGTTAATCTTGTAGATTGAAAATTATCAGGAAAACCTATTAGTCTGTAGCAATCTGCCCTGACATGCCATGTTCTCATACAATGAGTACAACTCACATTGGGATTGTACTTTGTCTTCTTCTTAAATTTTTGTTGCATATTCTGATTGTTCCCTATTTCTGAGGAGTTCCCCAGGTCTTCTGATTGTTGTTTCTTTGATTGAACTTCCCTGGAGTTCCAACCATAAAAGATTCCCCATCTGATGGATATTGTGGGCTAACATATATTTTCCTTTGACTTTCATCTTGCAGAAGAAAAGAGTAGGCATGATCCATGTTTGGAAGTGGGCTCATCATGAGGATGTTTTCTCTTGCATGTGCATACACATCATTCAATCCCATAAGGAATTGAATGACTCTCTGATCCTCTAGAAACTTGTCCATCTTTTTCTTCGCTTCACACGCACAAGTACAGGTGCTCCCCAGATGTGAGTTCAAAGAATCTAACTCATCCCACAACCTCTTCAAAGTTGTAAAATATCCTGCAATACTGCTATTTTCCTGAACTGTTTTGGCTATTTTCTTTTGCAGATGATAGAGTTTGGCTCCATTGGACTATCCAAACTTATGCTCAAGACTATTCCAAATCTCTCTTGCAGACTTGGAATAAATGACATTGTCTCCTATCTCCTTAGTTAGAGAGTTTAGCAGCCACAAGGTGACCATGTCATTGCACCTACTCCATTGTGCATGATCCTTTGAACCCAAAGTAGGCTCATCACAAACCCCATTGATGAATCCCAGTTTGTTTTTAGCTGACAGCACAATCAGAATGGATCTTCTCCATCCTGGAAATCCTCTTCCATCAAAGGGTGAGGTGACAAGAGTCATCCCAGGTGCATCTGAAGAGTGAAGAAAGTAAGGATGGTTGACATCATGATTCACAACTTGACTGGTTGAACCAGAAAGAAAAAGAGTAGGTGAGGAATCTGTTCCAGTAATGATTGTAGATTAAACTGAGCAAGAGAAAAGAGAAAGATTAGATGATGAAATTCAAGGATCGAGCAGAGAATTGCTCTGGTACTATGAAAGATTGAGAGATAGATGATGCAGAAACTTTTCTCCGTATATTTTATTCATTGTGTACAACCTATTTATATATGTAAAATTGATGTAAAGAGAAAATGCAGAAATAAATCTACTCTAGTCATCCGTACAATTATCAATCCCTATGTGTAACTAACTTAGATTCTTTTATTCCCTACTATGTATAAACATGTGCAATTCACGTGTAGGAAGGTTCCTACTTATTTCCTATATATTCAAATCAACGACTCTTGATCAACTTTTCTGATGGTTGTGATGCTCACACGTGTCAATGCTAAATGGTAAGATTAAAACATACATGTGAAGACATTGACGTCGTATAATCCGAAGAACCTAGGGCTTTTGTCTGAAACATTTCTTCCCCTTCTTCAATTCTTCATCAACAAACAAATCTTCTTATGCTAAATTATCATGGGGCTTCTTCTTCTCATCATCCTGTAGTACGGAGTATATATTAAGGAGATAGTTACCTTTCATTTTCAAGTCGTCGTTCTCGAGCAGACAGAAAAGGCTGATCGAGAAGGAGATAAAATGAAGATTTATTTTGGATTTTATTGGTTTTTAATATTTTTAATACCCTTAGTTCACACACGTAGCGTTTAATTACCTTGAGAGGAAGAGTACTACTCCATTTCTTATAGGCGACTTTCAAAGTAAGAATTTTCTATCTTTGATGATACACTTTGAAGTAATTTGGTTTATCGCAAGATAAAAAATAATTACTTAGAATTCTACATAAATTATAAGAGGTCCCTAATTAATACTTAAAATATTTGGTTGATTTTGTAGGATTGTATATAGATGTTTGTAACACACAGCGGAAGACAATAACAATCCTAAAAAGATCTTTTCGTGTTTAAAATTTTATTCACATGTCAAAAATCGGATCTAAGACGTACCTGGTGAAGAAAGTTTCGTTTCAAAAAAAATTCGATAGTACAAAGATTCTATGCGTATCCACACCGAGACTGATATGAACAATACTTTGCTGAAATTTTCTCAAAAACTCGAAGCAATAGTAATAAGACAAGAAAACATTTTTTCTCGACTGTGCGGCACACCTCATGAATTGATCCCTTGGCCACGTTATATGGATGATATATATAGCCAATCATCAATTCTTTCCCAAGTCAATA